CAGGACTACTTTGAAATTTATCAACAGCGACACCTCAGTTTTCGAAAGTCCTCTATCGGAGGCGTCAAAATGTTCACTTCCCTCCCTCCCCCAGCATTTGACCTTCCTGTTATGCCAACCTTGAGACAATTTTATAGAAAGGCTTTGAAACAATGTGGCACTGTAATGGCGCCACTTTGTAGAGGAATGATGGTAACCGGAGGAGCCATTAATCACGGAGTCATAAGTGAGGCCAAAAGTGAACGCACGACCTCATGTAACTCAAACATGCGCCACAAAATGTGGCCCTCAAATCCTCCCAAACCCCGTAAATTGAACAACACCTTTGACAATGTATAAAAACCTTTTTTTCCATTCATTTTTTTTCCTAAATCAGTCTTAGTAACGTGTAACGTGAAGCACTTGTAATTCAAGCGGTCGACAAACAATTGGTGAGAAAATACAATCCACTTGAAAGCACTCAAGTTTATTGTCAAGCTGTGACAAAGTAGTTGGAAGGACTTTGGAAGGCGGAAGAATCGAAACAGATTGCATGGGAGACAAAACAATCGCTGTGCTGTGAAGGCAAGGTGTTAGGCCTCTATACCAACCACCACTTGTTACCTTCCCAAATGCCATGGTGCCATTCAAGCAGTGGGGATGGGAGAGTCGCATTCTTCGAGGCAATCACACTTATACCCCAAATAAATTGACGTCTAATCAAATTGCCATCGTAAACACTGGATAGACAAATTGTCTGCCACCTACTTCTGCTGGACAAATAGGATGGAAAAGGTGATAGCCCCTCCCACCCAAAACCCATCACATTCGTTTTCAGTTGAAAACAAAATGAAGGACTTATTGAGGGACCTTTACTTTCGGTAGTTGATGTGCTTTAGCACCGATTACTCTTGGATCATTCGACGACCTATTTGGGGAGGGGCAATGACGCTTATGCAGGATTTTCAATATTCAAGGGACACAGAAGGCGCAAATAGGCGTAGGAAGAGGGGAAATGTTGCATGACTTGGCTATCCAGACAACATGCTGGCTCGAGAAAGTGAAAATGTCAGAAGGTCTGGCGCTTAACAACACAAAACTCTCACCTCCGAGACCGATCGTTTCGTCAGACCCGTAGCAAAGGTATCCTCATGTACTGGCGGTGCTTTTTTGCTGTGCTTGTCGTGTTTTTTATCCTGCTGTGGCGGTGGCATAGGCGGTGGCTGAGGCAAGGCGGCTGCAAATACCTCCTCCTCTGTTTTTTTAGTCATTCCATCTGCGAAGGTGTCCAACACAGTACGCTGTTTTTCAAGGCGAGCCAAACGACCCGTAACCGCCTCAATCTGACGGTGACATTGACGCAATTCTGTCTGCAAATCAGCGATACTCTGAGCCCACGTCTCCTCCAATTGCGGTACCGGACGAGCGGTGTATGTCACATCGAGAATTGTGGCTGCTCCACGCAGTTCAACCCTTGTCAATAAAACAGAGGAGATTCTGTTGATACTCCATGCTACATAACTTTATCAATCTGCTGAAGACGCAGTGACTGTGTTAAGTGGGTGGTTGTTTGGACTAGGCTAGTTTGTTAGCACACCGCCACACTTTTTTACTGACAGCTGACAGCGGTAAGTGACGGTGATCAAAAAGGACAGAAGGTCTGTTTCCATTGGCTGGCACAGAATTTAAAAGGGGTGAGAAAGGGGACTGATGAGGATGGCTAAATTGGTGAAGGCTTGCAGCGAAATGTGCACCTCCCTCTCCTACAGACCAGACAAGGTTAACTAATGTGAATAATATGGACAGTGTGTGAATAATTAGTGCCTTTTTATAACTTTAATGGCTGAATGGAATCGAGCAGGCTTGTAAAGAGACGTCAACCATTTCTCATGCAAACTTTGGAATTATGTGAGGACAGAAGATGGTAGTTGTAGAGCCCTACAAAGTCAGCATTCAACCATGGACCTTTGACTTGGCTAGTTTTTTTTTGAGAGTGCGTCTTTTCAGTGCTATGCCGTTCGAAATCCTCCGCTTTTTGTAAGGAATCATTTAAAGTTATGCGCCCTCCACCCATAACTTGACGGAAATGTGATCACAGTGA